TTGAAAGCTCATTTTTCTCCTCTGGTTCTTTTACTTCCTCGGTCTAGCTTGAGGCAGGGAGAGAGAGAGAGGGGGCGGGAAAGGAACGGAATTGGGTGCACCTGGAGGTGCGTGGGGGTGGGGGGCAGAGAACACTCAAGGTCGAGTCCATGGGCCCCCAGGAAGTGAGAGGGCCAGACCTCCTCCGTCCAAGCCCCACACCCCCCACCCACTGCCTAGGCGAAGACAATGGGTGCTTGTGCCAGCCTCCCGGATACAGGGGGCAGGGCCAGGCACCAGCTGGCTCCTCTCCAGCTGTACCAGCCACCAGCCCTTCCCAGACCTGCCCGGCTGTCCCAGAGCAGCCCCTGCCCTCACAGCGTCCCGCCCCAGGGAACTTCAACCAGCCCCAACCCAGGACCAGAGCCCTCCCCGGTCTGGGGGGTGGAAGACTGGGGGGCTCTCACCACAGTGCTCCTGCGGTGGCTCTGGACGGTGAAATCTGGGCAGAAGAGAAGGTCAGCGATGGCCAGAAGCAAGGACTCAGCCAAGGGCCGGGCATTCTCGTCGTCGTCCTCTCCCTGCTAGGGACATAACATATAGGTCCCCTCAGTGGTCGCTGGCCAAGGAGAGGTGGCCCCAGAAGGCGGCTGGGATCTGGGCCCAGGCAGGCACCCATGGGCAGTGGGATGAAGATAGAGGCAGAAGAGAAAGGAAGTAGATTCCCAATCACCTCAAACCTCCTTAGGCAGAAAGGGGCCAGAGCAGGAGCAGGGCTGGGACCCTGGGAGGAAAAACCCTCCCCACTGACTGGGAGGAGCCAGGCCAGGTCCCTAAAACTCTAGAGCCTCAGGCCTGCTGGGAATCACTGGGGTCCTGCCCTCGGCCCGGGAAGGGGCAGCCAGGGAGGGCAAGTGCCCAGCTGCCCTGCCCCACATCTGCCCAGCTGCAGGGGCAGAGACCCCTGTGGGAGAAGCCCCCTCCTCAGTAGCACCCCCTACTCGCCTACTCGCGTACTTCCCAAACGCCACAAGAGATTTGGAGGAATATGACCAACCCCAAATGGGTTCTCTCCCTGTCTCCCCATCACCTCCCACCCAGCCCCACAGCCAGGCCCACAGACCCCTCCTCGCCCTGCCCCGGGCACTGTGGACCAGAAGAAGCCCCTCCAGTCAGGGTCCTCAAAGATGTAGGGCAGCACACGGGTGAGAAGCCGGCTGCAGTTCAGAACGATCTGCTTCTCCTTCTCCGAATGGCAGCCGCTCTCCGCTCCCTGCACCAGCTTCTCCACGGCCTGTGGGGACACGCAGAGGGGTACACTAGAAGGGTGGGGAGTGGGGCTCTGACACTTGGGGTCACTCCAGGCTTTGGAGGGGTAGAGGCAGACTGGCTCAGTCAGCCCAGGGGGACGGGAAGTGGCCCAGAGAGCAGCCTCACTGGAGAGCCCAGCCTGCCGCTCACTGGCTGAGACCTTGCTAAGTGACCACCTGTCTGAATCTGTCTCGTCATCTGTAAAATGGTGACAGTAACAGCGTCCACCACACAGGATGAGTTGAATAAGCGGATGTGTGGGAAGGTGCTCAGCAAGGTGGGGGCCAGAGGAAGCCCTCACAGGGAGTGGGTGCCAGGATCACTTCCCTGCCAGAGCCCAGCCAGCGGGTCCAGGTGGGTGCCACCTTGAGACTGCCCAGACCTGGGCAGGCGGGATGTCATGGGGACCTGCTCTGTCGGTCCCCAGGGCTGGGCCAGCTTCCACGCCCCCCTGGGAGGGTGGGAAATGGCCCAGCAGGGAGTGGCAGCGAGGGACGGGGTACCTTGCGCTCACCTTGTAGCACAGAGTGGCCAGGTTGGAGGGTGACTCCTCCCGCACAGCCCGGATCTCTGCCGCTGGCACCAGGGCAAAGACATCCTGCACCGAGGTGGCTGTGTCCGCCCAGAACTGGTCCCAAAAGGCATCATCGGTGGCTTCCACAGGCTGTGGGGGGACCCGGTGTGTCCACAGTGATTACACTATCCCTTGCCGACAGGCCCACAGTTTGACCAGTCTGTAGCCAAGGGAGCCCCAGCAAGGAAGCCACGGTCCCCTTGTGCCATCCCTGCTGGTGCCCAGGAGCCCTCCCATGTGGGGGCCATGCTGCAGCCATCACGAGCCCGGGCTGGCACAGGCAGGCTGGAGACACTTGGTGCGGATGCCAGAGGTGAGCCGGGCACTGAGTTCGGCAGCCAAAGCCTAACTCAGTCCCTGAGGGACAGGGAAACTCACTGTCCTCCTCTGGGAGGGCCTCCCCACCTGGGGACCTCCCCAGGCCAAGCTGCTAGGTCAAGTGCCCGGGGACCAGACCCAGGTCATGCCCCTCCCCAAGGAAGAAGGCAAGACGATGGATGATCGATGGATGATCATTTCGCCTAAGCCCAGCCTCACCGTCTCCCCTCGGTCCCGGCTTCCACCCTCTCCCGGCGCACCCAAGTCTAAAGGAGTCAACCCGCATGGCTCTCTGACTGCCCCTGCTCCTCTCAGCACTCACCGCCAGCACCGCAGCTCAGTCCACTCTTGCCAGGGCCCCACCTCCAAATTTATCTCCCCAATCCTGCCTCCACACTGCCCCCAACCCATGTTCAAAGCACAGCACCGGAGGCACTGTTCCCTCCACAGAGACCTTTAGGGCTCCCCACTGCCTGCAGGACTGAGTCCAGACCTGGGCCAGACAGTCAGCCAAGATCTGACCTAACATACCTACATGCGTGCACACATGTGTGTGCACGTATCTACACACGTATGCACACACACACATATTGTACACGGACGCACACACACCAGTATGTCCTATCCCTATGACACAACCCTGTCACAACTTCTCTTTGCCTTTGCTCGGACTGTCCCCTCTTCCCCGCATGCCCACCCTTCTAGCACATTCCAAAGTCCCACCGGTCCTAGGGAAGTGACACACCTTAAACACAGTTGTGCATTTTGAATCACATAGGCAGTTCACAGAGGGCACCAATTTGAATCATCAATTCCACTTCTAGAAACCCTAAAGAAATGATCAGACAGGTGCACGTATAGGATGCTCCCTGACGTGCTATGGTTGATAACAGTGAGAAGTTGGAATCGACCTAACTAGCCAACAATCAGGGAACACTCAAAAAGTTAAGACACTTCCATATAACAGGTTATGATGCAAACCACCAGAACCGTGTTCCCAAGGAGTGTTAATGAATGAAAAACACTCAAGGTACAACACCGTGTGGAAAAGATAAGGTAAAAACTAACTGCAAGGTGGTCACAATCTTTGCTAAATTATACAGCAATAAAAGCCTAGAAGAAAATGACAGAATGTTCACAGAGATTAACTCTCTGGGTGGTTTTTATTTTTTAACTGATATTTTTTGGCAAGCGCACGCATCACTACTTTTTCCTTTTGAATGTTCGTCTGCTGAGGGCCAGGGTGTCCGAGGCACCCTCTGAACAGCAGCTCCCACAAGAGACCCTGGTTGCTCCATCAACCCAGCCTTCTCCCTTCTCTGAAAGCGCTGATGAATGCCCTGCTACCACACAAATCCACACACAGTGTGCATTACTCTTACCATCAAAAAATATATATATCTATCTCATTTAAAAATAACTCCGTCCTCTGAATCTCCTTCTTCCAAGAATTCTCCCAGAGCTCTAGATCCAGACAGGATTGCTTCCACCTTGGAACCCTGCTCCCCACCCTCAGTCACTCATCATAGGCCCTGACTCCAGGGTCTCAATGCACCTGCCTCAAGGCCCCATTAGCCCACCAGCCCTGTTTCCTTGACCCTGCACTGGGGCATATGGCAGATGTTCAGCCAATATTTGTTCAGGGAAAGGCCATCATTAGTCCTAGAGATCGCTTCAATCTAGTCCCTGGGCAGGGCTGAGCACCAGTGGGGCTGTCCAAGCTCCGGGTGGGGTAGAAAGCCTCACCAAGGTCCAAGTGTACCCTGGCCCACTCCCCAAGCAGCGCCCCCCACCTTCCAAGTTACAGGAGAGCACTTGGGGGACAGCACATGGCCATGGCCCTCAGGCCAGGCCTGGTACCAGGGCCTGCTCAGTCTCAGAACTGGTAGAGCAAGTTAGCTGGGGAGAAGAACAAAGGCCAAAGGAGGGGCCCTGGGGCTGGGGTTTGCTGGCCCTCCTGCCCTCAGCCAGGACAGCCCTCTGACAGTCACTGGAGTCACAGGATGCCACAACCCACCCCCCCCACACACACACACACACAGTGTGGGTGACCAGGATTGGGATGGGGAAGGACATCCTAGAAAACCTGGGAGCACCTCTGGGAAGCCCCCATCTCTGACACTTTCCCCACCACCCAGGTGGTTACTACCCCCTTAAAGGGGCAGAAACTCATCTGAGCACCAGTGGACTTGACCTCTGGCCCAGTTCATCAGGCAAGTATCACCTAGGGACTGAATTCAAAATGAGGAGAGAGACTTAGAAGGAAACTTAGGAGGCCCCAGGCTAGTCCAACCAAGAAGCAGAAGAGAGTCCCAGCTCTCGGGCTCCCATTGCGGCTCGGTCACCATCACCTGGCTTCAGCTCGGTCACCATCATCACCTGGCTACCCCAGGCTGGCCCGATGCTGTGGGTATTGGCCAGGGTCACTGGGGCCTCTCAGGCTTCTGAGGGGAGAAACACAGCCTAGCTCTGGTCCCAGTTACCTGAGCTGGGCTCCGCACAACTCGCGGAAGCTTCTAGAGTCCAAGCCAGTCTTTTTTGAAAAGAGTATTTTTGCTGGAGGTAGGAACGCTCTTGCTGCCAGGGCATAGGAACTGAACTACCCTGGTGGGAAACCAGATATTCTTAGCCCGGTTTTGCCAACATCTGCTCAGGCCAGACCCCCCACCAGCTTAGGGGCCCAGCTACATCTTTTCAACTTGCTGGGGGTGAGAGGGAAGGAAGGACCACAAGTGCTCTAGTCTGCTAAGGGTGACCTGTCCTGGAGGACCGTGTCACCACAGATTCACACGCACATATATGTGCACACACGTAAACATGGACCCACCAGATTTCACCTGGCCTACAGAGAGAATCTCCAAAAAGGCAGGATCTAGGGGAGGGTTCCGGGTCCAGGAAGGTCCTCCTTCTAGCGCCCCACCCATCCTAGGGAAGGTTCAGGAAACACAGCCCAAATTGCTAAGCCTCAGGACCAGGGTCGGGCCTAGCCCAGGGCAGGAAAAAAACAGGATGCAGTGCAGGAAGACAGGGAAGGCCCAGCAGCGGTGGCTCACGTCCACGCCACAGGAAAAGGTGCTGGGTCGGTTTGTCTGCGGCCCAGAACAAACATCTGTGTTCACAGCACAGCCTCTAAGGATCTGAGACTAGAGGACACCCTGTGGACCACTGGCCTGAGTCTCCTTGGGGATTCTGAGTGGCAAGGTCTGGAACAACCAACTGGGATCTGGTCTTCACTCCCCAGCTGCCCAAGCCAAGTTACTCTGCAGGACCGGAGGCTTCAGGGTCTCTCCCTCAGGCCACCCCAGGTCCCTTCCCACCTGCAGGGCCCTACTGGTCTCTGGAGGGAGACCCAACCTGGTCTCCGGCTCCAGTCTTGACCCAAGCCAACTCACTGTCCTCAGCTGGGAAACGGGACAGTAGCATCACAGCCAGCTCCATAACAGGGCCGGGAAAGCCATGGGCACACTGTATTTTGGGGAGAGGGCTAGCGCAGGTAGGAATCTAATCTACCCAGATCCTTTGGGACCTGGTGAGCTAGTCCTGCTGGTCTGGCAAAGGACCCTGCCTGCTGAGCCAACAGCCCATAGTTCATTCCTCCAACAAGGTGTTTCCTTCCCCTGGTAGGTAAACATGGGAGTCTGCCTCCCTCCCTCCTCTCCCTGTGGCCCCACACAGAGGGACTGGCCCACTTCCCACCCATAGACCTAGAAGCCCCATCCCCAAAAAGCCAAGTGCTAGAATGAATCAGGAGCCATCAGGGAAGTGGCTGAGAAGCAAATCTGTTTTCTATCAAATGCCTCTTAGCTGGGTCTGGACTCTCCAGAGGCCCTGGGCATTTGCCAGGCACCTGACCTATCTCTCGTGGGAATGAGAGAGTATAAGACGAGAGGCCCAGCCTCTGGAGCTGTGACCAGCTGGCTGTGGGGAGATGGCTCCCTCAGTCCCACTCTAACTGCCATGAGCAAGAGAGAGCCCTTGGGGGTAAGGGTAAGAGGAAAGTCCCAGACAGCAGTCCTGACTCCCTTGAATGTGGGGGATCTGCGGAATCAAGGCTGGGCATCTCTGTAGCCAGGGGAGCCTGGTTCAAGGGGTAAGGAGAGAAGGGGTAGGCAGAGAAGCAGCCTTGCTGGGGCCAGGTCCTATATGTTGGGGGCAAGGAGGTGATCCCTGTGCCACTTGCGAATTCAGGGGAGTGTGCAGGCATGGACTAGGCTGAAAGACATCCCCAGGCCCCACACCAGCCAGTCAAAGACAACTTGGAGGGTTGTCAGCCCTGACCCAGAGAACAGAGGGTACCTGAAAACACAGCCATCCCCACCGCTGGGCCTCAGAGGAGGAGCCCCCTGGAGCAGTGATCCCCAGCTGGGAAACCGGACTTCATGGGCCTGGGAACAGGTCTCTTTGCTAGGCTGCAGTGCTGCCCGCCACTCTTTGCACGTTCTCAGGAAGACCCGGGCCTTCCCTTGCTGTGGACATCGACCTGGGCCCAGAGAGGCCGCTACCAGCGCGCACCAGCTGTTTTCCCCGACCCGGCAGGCGCCGGCCCGGCTTTGTTTGCATTGAATCAGCC